AGATTGCTTTGGGTAGTATGGACATTGTAATGATGTTAATTCTTCCAATCCATGAACAAGGTATGTGCTTCCACTTTTTAATCTCTTCCTCTATTTCTTTTTTCAGTGACCTGTACTTTTTTTTTTTTTTTATCCTCACCCGAGGACATTCTTCCATTTTTTGTTCAGACAGAGCGGGAGGGAGAGAGAGGAAGAGAGAGAGGGAGAAACATCGATGTGAAGGGACACATCAAGTGGCTGCAACCCACACGACCAACCAGGGCCGGGGACAAACTGCAACCGAGGTACGTGCCTTTAGCGGGAACCGAACCCGGGCCTCTCTGTACCGCAGGCCGACGCTCCAACCGCTGAGCCAAACCGGCCAGGGCAGTGACCTGTACTTTTTGCGAATATGTCCTTTACTTCCTTGGTTTATTCCTAGGTATTTTAATTTTTTTGCTACAATGGCAAATGGGATAGTTTTTTAGTTTCTCTTTCTGTGATTTCATAATTGGTGTATAAGAATGCCATCGGTTTCTTGACGTTAATTTTGTATCCTGCTACTTTGCCAAATTCATTTTATGAAGTCTAGTAAATGTTTGATGGAGTCCTTGGGGTTTTCTACCTATAGTATCATGTCATCTGCGAATAATGACAGTTTCACTTCCTCCTTTCCAATTTGGATCCCTTTTATTTTTTCTTCCTGTCTGATTGCTGTGGCTAAGACTTCCAGTACTATGTTAAATAAGAGCGGCAAAAGTGGGCATCCTTGTCTTGTTCCTGTTCTTAAGGGAAATGCTTTTAGTTTTTGCTCATTGAGTATGATGTTGGCTGTAGCTCTTTTATATATGGCCTTTATTATGTCAAGATATGATCCCTCTATTCCCAGACTGCTGAATGTTTTTATCAGAAATGGGTGCTGGATTTTGTCGAATGCTTTTTCAGCGTGTATGAATATGATTATATGATTTTTATTTTTCATTTTGTTTATGTGGTATATCATATTTATTGTTTTGCGAATATTTTACCATCCTTGCATCCCTGGGATGAATCCCACTTGGTCATGGTGAATAATTTTTGTGATGTATTGCTGGATTTGATTTGCTAGTATTTTGTTCAGGATTTTGGCGTCTATGTTCATCAGGGATATTGGTGTGTGGTTTTCTTTCTTTGTAGTGTCTTTTTCTGGTTTTGGAATTAGAATTATGCTGGCCTCATAAAAAGAGTTTAGAAGTCTTCCTTCTTCTTGAATTTTTTGAAATAGTTTGAGGACAATGGGTGTTAGTTCTTTGAGTGTTCGTAAAATTCCCCCATGAAGCCATCTGGGCCTGGGCTTTTGTTTGCTGGGAGAGTCTTGATTACCTCTTTAATTTCCCTAGTTGTTATTGGTCTGTTCAAGTTTTCTCTCTTCGTGGTCCAGCTTGGGGAGACTATTTGTTTCTAGATATTTGTCCATTTCACTTAGATTGTCAAATTTGTTGCATATAGTTGTTCATAGGAGTTGTTAACGATCTTTTGTATTTCTGTGGTGTCAGTTGTTATCTCTCCTCTTTCATTTCTGATTTTGTGTATTTGGGTTCTCTCTCTTTGTTTCTTGGTGAGTCTAGCTAAGGATCCATCAATCTAGTTTATTTTTTCGAAAAACCAGCTCTTTGTTTCCTTGTTCCTTTGAATTGTTTTATTGGTCTCTATGTCATTTATTTCTGCTCTGATCTTTACAATTTCCTTTCTTGTACTTGCTCTGGGGTTTTCTTTTTATTTGCCTTCTAGTTCTTTAAGTTGTGAGGTTAGATAGTCTATTAAAATTTTTTCTTATTTCTTGAAGTAGGCCTATAGTGCTAATGAACTTCCCTCTCAGACCTGCTTTTGCTGCATCCCATAGATTTTGTGTTGTGTGTTCATTTTGTGTTGTGTGTTCAATCATCAATGAGATTTCCAGGAAGTTTTTAATTTCTTCCTTGATCTCCATGGTAACCCAGTCATTGTTTAATAGCATGCTATTTAGCCTCCATGTTTTCCAATGTCTTTGCATGTCCTTGTTGCAATTGATTTCTAGTTTCATGCGATTGTGATCTGAGAAGACGCTTGATATGATTTCAGTCTTCTTGAACTTGTAGAGACTTAGTTTTTGTCCTAACATGTGTTCTGTCTTTGAGAATGTCCCATGTGCACTTGAGAAGAATATGAATTCTGTGGTTTTGAGATGTCATTCTCTGTAGATATCTATTAAATCCATTTTGCCTAGTGCTTCATTTAGAGTCTGTGTTTCCTTGCTAACTTTTTTGTCTGGAGGATCTATCCAGTGATGTCAGCGGGGTGTTGAAGTCCCCTGTTATGATTGTATTGCTATTTATTTCTCCTTTGAATTCCTCCAGAAGATTTTTAATATATTTTGGTGCTCCTATATTGGGTGCATATATGTTTATCAAGGTTATATCTTCCTTTTGGATAAATCCTTTCACTATTATATAGTGGCCTTCTTTGTCTCTAGTTATGGCCTTCATTTTGAAATCTATTTCATCAGATATGAGTATTGCTACCCCAGCTTTTTTTTTTTTTTCCTTTCCGTTTGCTTGGAAGAGTTTTTTCATCCCTCCACTTTCAACCTATGTGAGTCTTTTGTTGTGAGGTGGGTCTCCTGTCAACAACATGTATATGAGCTTTCTTATCCAATCATCTACTCTATGTCTTTTTATCGGAGCATTCATTCCATTTAGATTTAAGGTGATTATTCATATGTACTTATTTATTGCCATTTTTGTTTAGTGTGGTTCTGTTTTTCTTCCTATTTCTTCTACTAATGACAGCAGTCTTTAACATTTCTTGCAGTGGTGGTTTGGTGATAATGTATTCCTTAGCCTTTTTCTGTCTGGAAAGCTTATTATTTGACCTTCTATTTTGAATGATAGCATTGCTGGGCAGAGTAGTCTTGAATTCAGATCCTTGTTTTTTATTACCTTGATTACTTCATGGCACTTCCTTCTGGACTATAGTGTTTCTGTTGAGAAGTCAGCTGAGAGCCTTATGGGAGTTCCTTTGTAGGTAACCTGTTGCCTATTTCTTGCTGCCTTTAGAATTCTCTTTTTGTCTTTAATTTTTGGCATTTTAATTACTATGTGTCTTGGTGTGGGCCTGTTTGGGTTCTTCTTACTTGGGGCTCTCTGTGCTTCTTGAACTTGAATGCCTTTTCCTTCACCAAATTAGGGAAGTTTTGTGTCATTATTTCTTCAAATATATTCTCCAACCCTTGCTAATTTTCTTTTTCTTCAAGGTTTTCTACGATGCGAATATTATTATATTTCCCATTGTCCCACAGTTCTCTTAAGCTGTCTTTGTGTTTTTTAATTGTTTTTTCCTTTTGGTTTTCTGATTGGTTGATTTTTTTTTTTACCCTGTCTTCTAATTCACTGATTCGGTCCTTAGCTTCCTCTACTCTGCTGTTCAGACCTTCCAATATGTTCTTTATTTCTGCTATGTCATTCTTCATTCCTTCTTGGTGGTTTTTAATTTCCAGTTAGTTGATTTTCAACATTTCTATGTCTTTACTCATGGTGTTGATGTCCTTACTCATTCTGTTGAGCTTCCTCAAGAGCATGGCTCTGAATTCTAGTTCTGTTAACTTGCTTAACTGCACCTCATTTATCTTCTCTTCGGTAGAGGTCTCTTGTTCTTTCATTTGGCATTGTTTTCTTTGTTTCAACCATTTGGCTATCTCAGTGGGCTTTGGAGCCTGCCAAATTTTCCTTGTGGGTATTGGTTGTCTGTGTTTGTGGCTCCCTCTACTGGGTTTGGATGAGTGTGGGAGGACCCACGTTAAACACCACTGTCAAGTCTTACTTTCTTGGGTATAGTTGCAAGCCCAGGAATGGTTCAGTTATTCTCTATCTTTTTGCCTGGAGGCTATTAGTCACAGTTACTTGAAGAGCCTTGGGTTCTCAGTTGAATGAACAACTCCCTCAGGTGTTCAGCGTAAGGGGATTTCCCCGGTGTGGGGCAGATGCTGGTTGTTAATGAGCCTCCATTTGCATTTCAGTGGCCCACCAGGTGGGGTTGAATCTCCGAGGGAGGGGCCACTGCCTCTCCTCAGAGCCCTGGGAAGGAGTAAGATGGCCACCGTCCTGCGTGGCTGCAACTCAGCATAAGCTCTAAGCACCCTCAAATCCTGAGTGTCCCCACACAGTTCCAGTCCATTCCTCCCTCCCTGTGCAGGAACACAGGGTGAGTGGCTGTGGCTATTTTAGCTCTCTGTCCTGGCTCTCTGCACTGTGGAGCCACTTGAGAGTTTAACCCTGAGTGTGCTGTTCACAGCTAAGACCTCTGCTGTCTGTGGGCTCCCAGCCCCCTTCTCGCACCTCCGCTATCCTACCAGGATCAATTCAGTGTCCCTAGTTATATGCTCCTCACATGCTGCTTTTCTGTTGCTTTTTCCTGACGATTTGTCTTTATTTTAGTTGTAATTCCAGTTTCATCTTGGGAAATGGTCTGTGTAGCTTCCATTCACTCTGCCCCCATTTTGGAATCTCCATAATGAAGACTTCTGAAGTAGATGAAGAAATTGTGGGATTTTTCAGTTTCTTCTTAAAGTTGTGGCAGTGCTTAGAATGCAGGGCTTCACAAGTTTCTTTATTTTTTTCTCCTTTGCAATTAACGGGCTGTTTAATATTAGACTCTCATGGCCTTTGAAGATTTCTGTTAATATTTTAATATACTCCAGTCTTAAAGCTGCTGTACTTTGTAAAATACTCCACTATTTTTATTTTATTTTATTTTTTTCCTGTATTGATTTTAGAAAGGGAGGGAGACGGAGAGAGAGAGAAAAACATTGATGAGAGAGAACATTGATTGGCCGCCTTCTGCATGCCCCCCACTGAGGATTTGGCCCCCAATCTGGGCATGTGCCCTCACTGCAAATTGGACCAGGGACCTCTTGGTGCTTGGGTCAGTGCTCAACCATTGAGCCACACCAGCTGGGCCACTCCACTGTTTTTAAAGGCATAAATTTACCAGTGTTTGTCATAGTGTCACTGCCCCACATTTTCAGATAACATATCTGAAGAAGTTGACCCTATCTTCTACATCATAACTTGAATGAATAATTGATAAAAACCTCAAAAAAATTGACTGCTATCTTTAGATATGTCAAAGGAGAAAACAGATAAACGAGGGGTATTAAAGATAGAAGCATCTGGTCCCTCTTGCAGAGCGATAATTTTATAGGTGGCAGCTGGGTGGCAAGTCAATACAGACATCCAGTTATGCCGCAGCCCCCACTGGTGAAATTCTTTGTTTATTTTCTTTTTATACACCCAACGGCTACCTAAAACCTGACACTATTTAATGGTGCCCTTGGTCAAATCTAAACAATGTTGCTTTAATAGTCCTCTGATTCTAGCTTGAAGAGTCAAGACAAACTCATAACTCATGGGATAGACAAAATGGAAGATGTAAATAAGTAAGTTTTTCAGAGCTAAAAAAGCTTCTTCTTATACAAAATTAAACTTTAAAAGAACATTGACCTCAAAACAATATAACTGTCCTGGATATGCAATAGTATAAATGAAAATCTGTGTCTACACAGTCTGTCAAACACCTCATTAAGTAGGATAGGCCTAACTCTGAATGCTTCTTGCTCTATCTACTATAATTCCCAAACCCTGCAATACCAATATAAGTTGTGGAGGGAGGGGGGAGAGAATGCCTTTCTCTCCTATTCCTGAAAATCACTGATGAATAACAACTCCCTTCTCATAGACCCTAAAACTAAAAAGCCTAATCACTCCAAAGTAGATGAAAAATTTGTGTTGAATTATCAGCTGAGAAGAGAGAATTCACTGTAACCAGAACTGTGTGATGGATAATGTATAATATGTTAAATAATCCGTTATACAAAAATAGTTCCTTCTATAATGTTAACTATTATAAGACTTTTGTTTAGTAAAATTCTAGATCATGCTACTGTAATGTGCATTCACCATTGAAAGGAAGTTACAAAACTATGAACCGCATAAAGAATGAAAGAATAATGTCAGTTACTACCATTTTACACATAACTTACATAAAATAAAAATTTTGTACCACTTCAGTGTAATTTCTATATTTGGCAACACCATCTACCTAAGTGCTGGTGTATGTATGAAAATAAGTTTTATTTTCTTTAAAGTATTCTATATTTCAAAAGGGATTATCCCCAATTTCTTTAAATTGATTTGCTGTTTATAAACATTTTTCAGGTTTCAAATGAGCATTATCTGGCCTCCCCAGTTGAAGAGACCATCTCTTTTCTCTCGCTTAAATCGGCTTTTAAAATTCCGGTTTCAAATCCTTTCCAGAAAAATTCTCAGCATCAGTGTACTAAAACCCAGAAGTATAGAACATAGTTTCATCTGTAGGCAAATTTAATTATTACCCTGGAGGAAAGCATGGTGCTTGGGTTTGTCCTTAAAGTCAGGTTAGTATGTGAATTAGCAGTGATTTGTAGTAAAGATTTGTGTCTTAATAGTTACTGTAAAATGGGGGGTGATAACTTCTAATATATGATGTCTGTAGGACAGTGTTCTGTTTATATTTTGACTGCAATCCAGAGAAAGCAATACCTTGTACTCAGACCAAGTATACACATATGTACATATAATTTAAAAGTTTTATAAAACAATACTTACCCTTTCTATGCTCCATGAACTTTCATATTTTCTCTTTCTATTTAGTTTTAAAATAATGCTGGGCATGACTCATTTATTTTAAGACCCACTAATTGGTCAAAACCCACAGTTTGAAAATCACTACTGTAGGAGAACATGAGGAAATACATTTTATAAACTAATGCACTACTGAGATGTGAGCAGCGCTACTGAATATCCTCCAAGTTAAGACTTTTATGGGCCTGAAGACAACCTCTTTCAAGAGAGTATTCACACTGACTCATTGAGTCAACTCTAACACTCAGATGAGAACTAGAAAGCAAGGCATTAACCAAGTCAAAACTCAACGAAGGGAAGACAGGTAGGAAAGTAAAAAAAGTAAACATCTGATCAGTGCCTTATGGTTTATAAAATACTTGCGCACATACATGATCTCTCGCTCTCTCTCTTTTATTTTTAATATTTTTGTTTGTTTTTGTTTTTAATCCTCACCCATGGACATTTTTGCATTCATATTCAGATAGAGCGAGATGGAAGAAGAGAGAGAGAGAAACATCAATGTGAGAGAGACACATAGACTGGTTACCATCTACATGACCCCAACAGGGGCCAGGGACAAACTGCAACTGAGGTATGTGCCCTTAGCGGGACTGAACCCAGGTCTCTCTGGACCACAGGCCAATGCTCTAACCGCTGAGCCAAACCGGCCAGGGCTGTTCTCTCTCTTTTTGAAAAAATGTATTTTTATTGATATGTTGTTTTTAGAGAGAGAAGAAGGGAGAGAGAGAAACATTGATGTGAGAGAGCCACACGCACCCTGACTGGGGATGGAGCCCTTGACCTGGTCATATGCCCTGACCAGGAATTGAACCCGTGCCCTTTTGGTACACAGAACAATGCTCAACCAGCTGAACCAACACTGGCCAGGGCACACATGATCTCCTTTAATCATAATGAGCCTAGGGAAAAAGTAAAGGTAACAGGTTGAAATCTGCTCAAGATGAGACAGTAAATGGCTGAGCCAGCTCATCTGAGCCTAAGTCCTTCACTCTTTCTACTACAATATCATACCAGGAAAGCAGAATGATCAGGACATGAGGTTTATTTTGATCTGTCAAAGACGTTTATGTCAACTGTGGTTCTCCACAGGGAAAGAGGACCCTACTGAAAGGTGGGGAAGCAACCCCATATTTTGGTAGTGGGGCATGGTCAGTTGCTCTTACTAGTCAGGACGCACACCTGGCATTTCAGTTTGCCAGTTATCTGTTTTTACACTGCTTGTGCTCCGAAGTCCTGAATGTCTATTATCTTCAGGTACTATGGCTTTCCATTCCTATGTATTAAGAGTCCTGGAGACTTGGTCAGGGATAGACTCAGGACTCACATCAGAGGGAAATTAAGTATTAAGGATCTATCACCTCTACCCCTTATACTTAGGTAGACTGAAAGGGAATGACAACAGTGGTCAGCTTCTGGTCACTGTCATGTCTTTGCTCAGCTTCCTCTGGGGAAGCCAGCTGGCCTCAGCCAATATGTCTCCTTTGTCCACATGTGCCCCTCTCCCTCCACTGTACCCTCCCCTCCCTCATCCCTCACAAAAAAAGAGGTTAAACTAACAGGTACCATCCCTCCCAGCTCCTGTTCAAACCCCCATGTTCCCTTTAGCCTCTCACCTTGTACTCCTGCACAAGCTCCTCCAATGGCACCACTCTATGCTGTTTGTGGCTCCTGGATTCTCAGCACACATATGGCCTCTTTGTCCACCTCACAAAAGAGTTTCAGGGCTTCTTGGTGTTTGGAGCAGATATCCTTATCATTCTCCTGGATATGGAGTGGGGCACATCTGGCGAATTATCTGGACCATGTTGGCCAGCTGCAAGTTGGTAGGAAAGCTGCATCTTCTGGCATTGGGGACAGGTGAACTGCTGTGGAAGGGCCGGAGGGACCCGGAGAGGAGGCTGGTGGGTGTCAGGATATAGGTCTTCCTCTTCCTCATCTATTCTTCCAGTATCTCTTCTTCTCCGTAGATGCCAATCCTCAGATCATGTCTCAAACCTTCCAGGTAATAGTCCCGATCTTCCTCTTCTTTTTTCCAGGTCCCACACATTGTCCATGTTGTCCCAATTCCGTATGCCACTGTCTCTGACTCAGGGTTCAATATCCTCTTGGTCCTGGATCAACTCCTCAGAATTCTCGTAGTACAAAACTTCGTGAGTGGTGTTATCCCATCCACTGTTGGCCCCATCGCATCGTTGTCCTCCTTCCATTTCCATTCCTCTTCATACTTGTTTTCCTCATCTTCCTTGCCCCACAGTGGGGTCACACAGCAGAGGTTGTACCCGCAGCCGATGGACACGGGATCCTTGAAATAATCCAGACAGATGGCGCACATCGCCTCCTCTTGAAGGCTCTGCACAGATTGGAAGTAGTGTGATAGCCAGCCATTTTAATGTGCTATCAGCAGGTGTGGATGCGTCAACTTGGTGTTGAGGAGCAGGGGACATGGTGACCCAAGACTCCTCAACACTCTTCCTCCTCAGGCCCGCAGAGAAGCCTTGCTTCCCTCTCTTAGGCCCTTCTTAGTTCAAGGCGTGAAGGTCCCGGGCCCAGATTCAGGGCCACCCTTCAAGGGCAGCGAGGCGGAACCAAGCTGCAGCCCCTATTTCCCTTAGAGGCTCATCACGCAAACCCAGATCCCACGTTTTTCGCCCCCCTCCAAGTTTGCCTAACCTGGCATCCGCAGCCAACCAAAAATGGCCCGGCAGGTGTGGCTCACTGGTTCACCATAGACCCATGCACCAAGAGGTCCCGATTCCCACTCAGGGCACATGCCCAGGTTGTGAGCCTAATCCCCAGTGGGGGCATGCAGGAGGTGCCAATCGATGTTCTCTCTGGTTAGGAACCACATCTCTGTGGTGCCCCAGGAACCAAACCAGCTGGGAGCCCCTGCGTGTATCCAGCCGCCCCAAATGAGACGCTGCTTAGTAAGAATATGCAGAAGCGGAAAATCAGTTTCAGGTATTGAGCGGTGTTAGATGCGCTCTAACCATCCAGACACGGGGATCAGCAGCCGCTCCGGAGAGCCAGTACCCCAAAAAGGACCTAAGAAGGGTGGTGAATGCAGCCATCTAGCTCCGGTGCTCTGTTGCATTTCCGGCCCTTCTAGCCAGAGGCCTTTGTGGTAGAGAAGACTCCCACTTCATAGTAGCAGCTGTGTTCCAAGATGCGGTACATATGAAGCATGTAGATTGAGCTCACGGTGGCGTGGAGTGGCCGTAAGGTCAAAGAGATATCTATCTTTGGGGTTTGTGTGCCTCCACCTTAACTTTTCAAACCAATGCACCCTTTTCTTGCTATCTACAGAGCCTCGAGCTCCTAACCCTGACTTCTCCCATGGCCTTAACTTCTGTGTTCATCTCTGATGTCCTGCTATCCCTCAGAAACTTCAGACTCAGCATGCCCAACACCAACTTTTGTATATCCTTTTTCCTCTCTCCATCATTCATCTTTCCATTCACCATTCACTCACCCATTTATGCATTTTTCAGTCTTCCATCTAGCCATTCATTCATCTATGTATGCATAATGCATCCACTTAGATCTATCCACGTTATAGGAACAAAAGAAATGACTAAGACATAAATAGTCTCTTAAAGGAGTACAGAGTTATAGGTGTGTGGTCACCTTGCATTGAAGGTTTTACTAAAAAAAAATTTTTTTTGTTTTCTATTTTATTTTAGCAAAATGCCGTTCAAGATTCACTGGAGTGATTGCACTCCTTACTAATTGGTCACTGTTTGAGGAACATCACCTGTTCTAATGGAACCTTCAACACACCCTGGGACCCCACCTCTTGCCCTCTGGGCCAGAACTTTAAATGTCACAAAGCAAGGATGGTAACTGCTGTCCATTGTACATACAATTCCTCTATCATTATGCTGAACATACAGCAAGTGCTCCCTACATAACTGCTGAATACATAAATGAATCAAGTCCTGTCGATTTTCATCTCAGATTTAGGCCTTCCCTGTTCCTACCATTCTAGATCTGACCCCATCAGCTTTGATTGCTCAGAAAGTTTCCTAAAGGGTCACTTGCCCTCGTTTCAGTTTATCCTGCAACCACCAGAACCATTCACCTGAAATGGGAGTCTGAAACACACCAGGCTGTTGCCTCTGTGTTTTTAGACATATTGTTCTCTCACCTAGAAGGCTCTTTTCTCAGGGCTTCATCCAGATAAAATTCCTAATTATCCTTCAGGTCTCTGCCCAAGCATAATCTCCTGAAGGAGACTCTTCCCCAAGGCTGGCAGCAGGCTGTGTTAGGATCTCAGCTCTGTCACTTATTCTCTGTGTGACCTTGGATTAGTTTTAAAAAATATTTTTATTACAGTTGATATCCAGTATTATATTAGTTTCAGGTGTACAGCATAGTGGTTAGACAGTTTCATAATTTACAATGTGATCCCCCAATAATTCAAGTACCCACTCAACATCTTTGTGCGGCAGTTTCCTATTTGCAAAATAACGATGATAGTAGCACACACATTATGGGTTGTTGTGAAGTTGGATTAATCGACATTTGTAAAGTGATTGGAATGAGGTTATCTGTATCCTCAACACCTGCCACTATATTCCTATTCTATATTAGATGTGCCTTGGAAGAAACTCTCCTGCCATCTTCTATTTCTCCTACTTTGAATAGGGTCAAGTGCTTGGGACCCTGTGGTGAAAAAGAGCCCATCATGTGTCATTCTGGTGGTTCTGAGAGCCTTATCTCTGGTGAGAGAGGGAATGGAAATCTAGCCCTGACTTATATAAGGTGGGACACCTATCTATGGTAGTGTTAGGGAACTAACAAGTAGACTCCCAGTATACACTCTAAGAGCCTTCTTGGAGGTCATGGTAGAACTGGAGGAGCCACGGGGGCAAGGGGACAGTGTGGGTGGGTGCGGAAATCTGAGCAACAAGAACTGGAACTGAACTTCAAGGCTGAAATACTTCCCTAGCTCTGAATGCAGGTTCTGCCCTGCACATGGAAGAGGTTTGGGGAACAAGCTGAGGAGCAGATGGAGAGAAGAGGGGGCTGCTCAAAAGCAAGTTCCTGCCTGTCTTGGGAGCTAAGCCCAGGTGGGGAGAAGGACAGTTAAAGGAAAGAGCAAGAGGAAGCAAGTGGTAGAATACAGTGAGAAGGCTAGAGGGAGCATCTTGAAGGAACTTGTGAGACCTGAAGGAATATAAAGTGGACACCCATTCGCAAGAATGAGGATATGTAAAGTTTAACACCTATTTTCTTTTATCTTCCTTTTTCTTCTGAATTACCTCTCCTCAAATTCCAGTGGCAGCTGGGAGAAGGGTTTTGTTCAGATTCTATCATGTCATGAAGCTTAGCTGATCTTTTCCAACGTATATGGGAGGCTTGGTTTTATGCTCTCTTGCAACTCCCACATCCTCCAGCAACCAAGCATGCTCTTCTATTTGCAGTTCTGCTAGCTTTCTCCTGAACCCAGCTGGGAGCTGTGGGTTGTCAGGGGAGGCTACCTGGTACACACAGGGCCCCAGGTGCCACTGTCCCAGGGAACTCAGAAAACAGCAGCAGTGAAGGGCAGTCAGGCTGGCTTAGCAATGATGGTGGCTGCCAGTGTATTTTTCTCAGACTCTGATTTTTAAAAATGTATCCATGGGGTGATGGATTCCTGAGAATTAGAACACAGTAAAGGACACTCGCCCGGAGTTGACTTGCAAGTGAGTCACGCCGGCCAAGCAACTGCAAGCAGTTCTTAGAACACAGTCTTGGACTGTTTCTGGGTTCTCAGGGTCATTATGACCCTAGTAAAAGACATATATTGTTATGCCTTGCAGACATGGGACAGCCCCTTTAAAATAATCTTAAGAACACATAGACTACATTCCTTTCTTAAGACAACCTGTTAAGATAGTTTTTAACCTTTCTCCTTTTTATTTTTATCTATTTTTTAATTAATTGATTTTTTTACAGATGTTTCTCCTTTTCCCCCCACTGATTCCTCCAACCCCCTCCCTTCCCGCCCTGTCCCCAGCTTTGTTGTCCATGTCCATTGTTAATGCATACATGCATATAAGTTCTTTGGTTTATCTCTTCCCCCCACACCCTTTTCTGGAGATTGTCAGTCTGTACCCCACTTCTATGTCTCTCTGGGACTACCCCATTCCTCAGACTGTTATGTTCATTATATTCCACAAATAAGTGAGATCATATGTACTTGTCTTTCTCTGTTTGACTTGTTTCACTTAGGATAATACTTACCAGGTCCCTCCATGTTGTCTCAAAGGATAAGAGATCTTTCTTTCTTACAGCTACATAGTACTCCATTGTGTATATGTACCACAGCTTTTTTACCATTTGTCTACTGATGGACATTTGGGCTGTTTCCAGATCTTAGCTATTGGAAATAATGCTGCTATGAACATGGGGGTACATATATTCTTTCTGATTGGTGTTTCAGGCTTCTTAGGGTATATTCCTTAAGTGGGATCACTGGGTCAAATCAAAGTTTAATTTTTAACTTTTTGAGGTAACACCATAGTGTTTTCCACAGTGGCTGCACCAGTCTGCATTCCCACCAGCAGTGTACTAGAGTCCCCTTTTCTCGCCAACACCCTCCCAACACTTGTTTGATGATTTGTTGATGGCGGCCATTCTGACAGGTGTGAGGTAATACCTCATTGTTGTTTTAATTTGCATCTCTCTGATGATTAGTGATGTCGAGCATTTCTTCATATGTCTCTTGGCCATTTGTATGTTCTGTTCGGAGAGGTGTCTATTCAGCTCCTCTGCCCATTTTGTAATTGGGTTCTTTGTCTTTTGTTGAGTTGTATGAGCACTCTATATATATTGGAAATTAACCCCTTATCTGATATATCATTGGCAGTGATGCTCTCCCATTCAGTGGGTTGCCTTTCCATTTTGGTGACTGTATCTTTTGCTGTGCAGAAGCTTTTCAGTTTGATGTAGTCCCATGTGTTCATTTTCTTGTTTGTTTCTGTTGCCTGAGGTGATGTATCAGTGAAAATTCTGCTGCATATATGTCTGAAATTTTGTTGCCTACATTTTCTTCTAGGATTTTTATTGATTCATGAGTCACATTTAAGTCTTTTATCCATTTTGAGTTTATTCTTGTGTATGGAGTAAGTGGATGGTCTAGTTTAATTTTTTTGCATGTAGCTGTCCAATTTTCCCAACACCATTTATTAAAGAGGCTGTCTTGACTCCACTGTATGCTTTTGCCCCCTTTGTCAAATATTAATTGAGCATATTGCCTTGGGTCCATTTCTGGGTTCTCTGTTCTGTTCCACTGGTCTATATGCCTGTTCTTGTGCCAGTACCAGGCTGTTTTGATTACAGTGGCTTTGTAGTATAACCTGAAATCTGGTAATGTGATCCCTCCAACTTTGTTCTTCTTTTTC